AACTTTTTTATTTCACACATAACATAACATCTCGTCTTTTATCCACGAAGGGGTAGGCAGAGTTGCACATTACGGCACTTAATGCCACTATACAATGTAACACCCACTTATCACTATTTATGTTACGAGTTCCATGTAATACTGGTTGAGCCTATTGCTATATACCGGGTACATTTCCAGATTCCGTGCTACTACTGAGATTTTTAAAAAACCCAGTAATACTTTACGCGACCCCGGAATCGAACCCGAGACCCCTTGCCCGGCAGTCGCACTTGCGACTACTCGGACAATGAGGCAGTCAATTTTTTATTTCAGTTCATGCGTAATATTTATTGCCATGATACTGCATTTTTAATTTATTACTAAACTAGCTTTTACCCGCGGCTTCGCTCGCGTCACAAAAGGATAAAAAGTAGCCTATGTGACAAATACACAGCGCCATCTATACCAATACTTTTGTTTTCCCTCGGGAATATCATTTTTTTCCGGGATATAAAGTACCCTATTATTTAATCCGGACTTCTAACTTTACGTCTGCAAAAATTCAAAGCAATCGGTTTAGTAGTTACGGCGTGAAAGCGGAACAAACAAACAGACTCACTTTCCGATTTATAATATTAGTAAGGATTTATCAATCTGTCAGTGTAAGTGTAAAAAAGAGTTTAGTGTCTCCACTGAAAATTTGACTAAATAAAAATAAAAACTAAATGCATATAACGGTTTTGTGCAGGCGCACCGACGAATTAATATAATATCCAAATTTTGCACAACAGAGTTCCATGAGCGACTTGATGTCAAACAAACAGCAATCTTCCAAACTTGTGATACATTCCCGTACACACAAGTTCCGTAAATCAAGCTCAGATCAAGTAGCTAACCGCGAGAATTTCCGCCTATTGATTCCTTATTACATAGGCAATTTCCGTTAAGCATGTTTATGAATTCCCTACTGTGTCAAGTGATTAACTTAGGGGGAACATGAATAAGTCTGTGTAGGGACGTTCCAAGTTTCTCAGTACATAAATTATCGGGAACAAGTCTCCCTCGAATTTATCGTCCCCGTCCTCCAATAGTACCGTGTTTAGATAGTCATAATTCAATAATATGGCGCGCTATGGTGACAATTGACAACGGAAAATATTGTTCACGCGAATATTGGCCTAAATGGATTTGTAAATAAACGGTGTAAGCGATCGTTGTGGGGTGCGAGGTGTTTTGACACTTGTACCTACGCTCGCTGTACGTCCATTAATTGCGTTGTTTTTCTTCGTGTGTGTGATAGATGAAATGAATTTCGCTTTTGTCTTTAGTAACACGTACTTTGTTGGAAAATGTTTGTGCTTAATCGCTTATTTATATCACTAATGATTTTTACATAGCTACGATTCATATTAACTTTCTCGCCAATGTTTTCTAAATTCCACTGAGAGTAATACAATATTGCTACTTGTGTTTACGTTTATTAATATTTTTCGTTAAATCTGTTGTCAGTATTTATGCCACAACATCGGAAATTATAATGAACACTAAATAAATATGCTTGCTAAAAAAAACTCAAATCAAAACTAAACCATTTAAAGAAAACTTTAGAAAAACTCGTTCTGTTACTTCCTATCCGTTCTAATTGTAACAAATGAGGAAAACAAATACCTACACAATCACAAAGTACGTAATAGGGAGGTCCTGTACTCTGCCCAAGGGACTCTAAAGAAAAGAAATAAATCTCCGTAGTACCCCTTCTGATTTACACCGGTAGCTTCAGCCCATTGAAAATGCTTGTAAATAATAAACGAAATATAGCATTCCATCCAGCTACTTATAAAAACAATTACCATAATTTATTGGCTCCGGTTTCCATCGGGAATAAATGCTGTAAATTGTTTCAAAGAGTTCTTATACTGATTGAATAGGAAGGAATTCTCTTGGGATTCAAATGTTTTAATTTCTATGCTGTCATTGTTTTTGAAAGTAGAACATAACGGTATGCTTTTCGTTTTTACGCTTGAGTGTGCCTGTATTTGGTATTCATACGATTTCATAATGCGTTTATACAATTACGTAAACATAATAATTTGTACGATTAGAAACCTTTTTTATATGAATAAAGGAAAACTTATCTCTCTCTGCATTATTAATTTATACAAGGTGTAAAAACAAGCATAATATATTTATTACGCCTATTATAATTCTGTACAAGTATCAAGTTTGTTACAATAAATTATAATATTATCCAAGTACCTAATGCGAACTAATCTCTTGAGTAAAAACTAAAACAATATCTGTTTTTCTACTAATGAAAATGGGAGACAAACGGAATGCTAATTCTCGCTTTGTCTACATTCGAAGGATTACCACCTTATTCACGCATCAAAAAATCCGAAATTCTTTGAAAAAATCCAAATTCATTAAATAAATCACTTTATAAATCTAGCCTTTACAAACGTACTGAAAGCAAATAAGTAATTACATTAAAACTTTGTGAAACTATCGAAATTCTCGTTTCATATCCAATCCTATTATTTGAGTTCAATTAAGTCGCCGCAAACTTTTACTTAAATACGAGAAAACTTGAAAGAAAAATACCCATCTCACATCTATGTATCGACAAACATAAGTCTTTAACTAATCGAAAAGTATACTCCACTACAACTTTACTTATATCTAGGGGGAATAACATTAATAAGTGACGTCACGTCTTACTGACAAACTTTTAAAATTAAGTGCTACGAGTTTTTCACGTGGAAAAGCCGTGCGTCAGCACAACTGGGCTGTCTCAACTGGAGTGCTACCACGATGCACGGTCTCATAGAAAACCAGCATAAACAACGCTCTTGAAACTTGTCTAATGACATTATGTGGGTCCATGTTGATTACCTACTGATTAGGTGATATACTTACACTGAAAAAAGTACAATGAGTAGTCATTATCAATTTAAATAAAGTATCAATTAAGTTTCGATTGAGGAAGCCATTCAAGTTGTGAGTACCTGATCGTTTCTCATCATGATATTGTTATCTACCTCTATTAAAGACAATTAAATCGTGATTCTATTGTCAAGATAAGCCTGACTCGCAACGTTTCTGGTAACAAAGTTATTAGCCAGCTATTTACTTGCGCTCCGATTTTACGCGAAAATACGACCAATAAAAGCGTCGTATTGTTATGATCTTATGGTTTTGTTCTATTGAAGAGCTCTGACCTATAGACTTTACTTTTAAGCGTGCTAGAAGTGTTAAATATAATTTTGATTGTTTGTCATTTCATTTATAGGACAATAACATTCCATTATTTTATTTTTTAACTTGACGTAAATACCTACATAAAACTCTCTTTGATGTCTAAAGGAACAAACTCTATATACAAAATATCATTCGCAAATTGTATTCTTAAGCGTTGGAGTGTGAGTTTAGATAATCTAAAACCATTTTCTAGGATTGAGCTGCTTATCAAACGTAAAAGGATTGTTTCAAATCTGAGTGACAGTTTCAGATTAGGGAGCTCCAACTGGCGTGCTTCTTACTTACAGATTCGTATTGTATCTTCAGAAAAGAAACAGTAAATCTTGAGTTACCTAATCAGTATACAACATTACTCTTCTATAATGAAATTACGTCGGCACCTAACCCGCTATGATTCTATCCAGGCCCAGAATTGTGATCATTTATTCGCTCACCCATTCCTGCAGGACAGACTACCTGGCGTGTGTAACTAAAGTGCCGTACCCACAATCATGTACCTAAGTGCGTAGATTAAACGCGGCAGCAACATTACGCCACCATACCTACATCTCTGTTCCTTATTATTCTTTTATTACACAAACGCGAACCACATTATGAGGGTTTAAGAAATATTACGTGTAATGTCACGTTATGAACAAATGAAAGTATCTTCCCAGAACTTTTGTGCAGACCTGTATAATTCAATTATTTGTCACTTAGATGTGAATCTCTTTGTTATTACGGAAGCTGCGTGAAGAAAATATAATTTTCGTCTACCATATTACTCGTGTTCTAATCTTATTTTCCTACTAAAAATTCAACAGCTTTTATAAAGAAGCAACTTTCAAAATATTTCCATAGTATAGCGCGGAGAACGAATACGTCCCCGCATCCGATAAACACCTCATTTCATCAAAATCGGTTCGGTAACATACACAATTCATATTCTTTATTTTTCCGTTGAAAATAAAACAAACAGAGTCGCCTGCCGCTTTAGCACAGTTTTAGGACTCAAATAAAGCCGCAGACAGAGAAGTACATTTTTATAACTATGAAATATACCAGCTATAAAGAAAAATAGTAATAAATAATCAATTTTCCACGTCATAAATCGTGTATAACAACAAGAAAACTGCAAATTTATGCAGATTTCATAGCGTTGCCGCGTGTCGCCCGCGTTGAGAGTCCGATGCCCCACGATAAGACGAAACTCCTACGTATTTATGTAAATATGACTACATTATGTATATTAAACCGAGATTTTTCTGTTACATTCGCGTATGAATGCATAAAGTGTGGTGTGGGGTATCTCTGCTTCTTGTTTACATTATCCATGAGCAAATTATTTTTAAAATTGTTACGGCATGCTTGCGAAGCGGATAATTAAAGTTTTGTATGTTCACATCATGCAGTTTAAGCGCGCGGTGTAACGTTGGCTCGCAAACTAATTTGAAGACAATTATGAAACTGTCCTTTCCCATTTTTTAAATCAAGCATTAGCTGGAAGATAAAATAATTTCGCCTTTATTTCTTATATTTTATTGTACCCAACATAAAAGCTGTCTGGTATGATATGATTGTGTTTATTTTATAATTTAACGTACATTTAAACCAATTCAAAGCTATTTTCGAATCTACTGCAATTGTGAACGGGTCTGATAGTGTTTGCATTTCATTTTAGATTAAAATCATATTCAAATAACACGTATCTGTGGATAGTTTAAAATAATAGTTGCGGCTATAAAAATCCATTACACTCACATTATCCCCTTCCGCCCGTGACCTTACTAGTGAGTGAACGTGTGTTCGGTTTGTGCATAATTGCGCAAGAAGTTTGTACGTAACTTTGAGCCGTAATCGAATAGTGAGAGTGATTAATCTTGCATAGACAGTAATTAAAATATTAATATTTCGAACTAACTGCCGGCGGTGCAGATTCACCGCGAAACTACTTGGCCGAGCAAGCCCCGCCCACACGCAGGAGCGAGATAGTCGCCATAATTGCCTTCCTGCCTGCACTCGTGTCAAGCGCGAGCGCATCACATTGGCGATTTATACGATACATTAAGCGAGGTGATATATCTACGTTGATAGGCGTACAATGCCGCGCTCCCATCGATCGCCTAAGGTCTCGTCACCTAGAAACTGTAGTGGAATGCAAGCACACTCGGACTCGGAAATAACCGCACCTGTTTTTACTAGTCCAGCTGGCGGTGTCAATATTACATCACGATCTAAACGTCCGTGCCCCGAGTTCTCACCCGGTAATGAACTTCAAGATTTTAAACGCGAAATATTGGAACTGCTGTCAACGTGGAAGAGGGAACAAGAGGATCGCCTTAATAAATTCTCGCAAGATCAAAATTCTTGCCTTGCTAAGTTAGTATCCGAAATAACTGAGTTGAAATTGCAAAACCTTGCTATTCAAAAGTCTAATAATGAGATAGAAAAGTCTATCTCATTTATCAATGATCGGTACGATGACATGATAAGGAATGTAGATATTCTGCAGAAGGAATCTCAAAAACAGAGAGATAATGTCATTAATCTGGATATAAAGGTCCAGGACATCAAACAACTATCTCGGTCGTCGTGCGTCGAAATCCGCAATGTACCTGCTGCAGAAAATGAGACTACAACAGATTTAAACACTATTATCAACAAAGTCGGTACAGTGGTTGGGATGGCTCTCAGTAACTCCGAGATACGCGACACATATCGCTTACCTGGGAAACCAGGAACAGTTAGACCTATTATTGCAGAATTCACAAGTGTTCATACTAAAAACTACCTCATCAAAAGGGTCCGTGACTTTAACAAAACACATCCCAACGAGGCGAAATTGAATACTAAATCAATGGGGTTACCCGGAGATAGTCACCCAGTTTTTGTGGCTGAATATCTTCCAGCCAGCAGCAGGAAACTGTTCTTTGAGACTAGACAATTTGCGAAGGAAAATGGCTACAGGTTTTGCTGGTCGGTCAATGGGAATATCTACTTGAGGAAATTTGAAGGAGCGAAGCAAGTTCTTATTAGATCTCGGGAGACACTGCGCAATCTGAAATTAGATATAGACCATTGACTCCATTACAGCATGATTAAAGTTTTATGTATTCTTCTGAACATTATTGTGTATCATAAATTCACTAAACGTAAGTACTTAAAATACTGCGAAAAATGTATACATGGTCTTACAGCCATTCTTGTGCATGTCTTACCGACACAAAAGTACTTAAAATTCTGTGTTTGTACAAATCATTGGTTAATAGTTATATTTTTGCATGTAATTTACTTCCTTATCTCATATTTTATATTCCTAGTAACTAATAAGTATCATTTAATATACCTGTTCTTTTTTACACTAAATAAAACACAGCACTTTTTACACACAACTACAAAAACATTCTTACACATTGTGTTACTATATTACTTGCCTTATGTCAACAACACTAATCAGTATCTAATGTATTTAATTTATAACAAACGCGTCCAAACATGTAACTTATTGCGTCATATGTGTGACAGGTTTATACTTTATAATGGCTAATACTGCTCAAGTAATTGACGAGATTGATCATACGGCATTTACAACAACTCTAAAACTGGAGTCAATAGATGACTTCGGGCTACATTTTGTGGGTGATATGGAGGGGCAATACTCAATAATTGTCCAAAATATACGTAGTGTCAAAAAGAATTTTGATAATTTTACTGTTTTTTTGAGTCGACTGTTTTTCTTGCCTGATATTATTGTTTTAACGGAATGTTGGCTTGACGACACGATTACTTGTTCTGAAATAAACAATTACAAATGTCACTGTTCAAAAAACTATCTAAATCAAAATGACGGAATAGTTATATATACGAAGATATCTTTACAGGCCTCTGTTGTGGAACCATCGTTCGAGGAGTCAAATTGCCTGATTGTCAATATAAGGGATGAACTATCACTAATT